TCCGTATTTTTTTTGTTATAAAATATTTGAATAAAAAAATGTATAACATTATCATAAAATTGCGTAATATATATGTTTTAATAATTTTCTAAATATATATATATATACTAGTGTAGAAGGCTCATGCAAGGTCCGGGCCACAGTACAACAAAAAGAGTCTTTGGAGACGAAAACTAATGACGAAAATAAATTTTGTCACGAAAGACATAACTTTTAGTGAAGAAAATAATATTTCGTCTCCAAATGTACTATTTTTAGAGAGAAAAATAAAATTTTGTCACCAATCTACATATATAATAAAGATATTAGGTGACGAAATTATTTTTCGTCATTATTTTTATTTTTTTTGTCACTGAAGATTTTTTTGCTATTTTTTTTGGATGGCGCCAAAATTTTGAGATTTTTGGTGAGGAAAAAATTGGTCACCAATTATAAAATTATTAATGACAAATATATTTTCGTCACCAATAATTTTTAATAGTTTTATATCATTTAGTGAGAAAACTAATTCTGTTGTCAATAATTTTATCTTTTGGTGAGGGACTAATTTTGTCACCAATTTCGGAGGGAAAATTGAGCGCCAAAAGAAAACCCAAAATAGGCTACTAATTTTTTCGTTTGGCTTCTGAACATAGAATTTGTAAGCTACAAAACCTAGTAGAAGAGAGGGAGAAGAGAGAGGTTTCGAAGGAAAGACTGGTTCGTGCGACGCGAAACTTCAACTTCGAACAGTGCTCTCCATTCAGCAGCGGTGACGATTGACGGTTCCATTGTTGAGGTATGTTCGGATTCCCCCCTCATTCTCTCTCTCTCTCTCTCACTCTCTCCATCTCTTTCACAATCACTCCATTTTTGAAATTTCCTCTTCAAAATTCCTAAACACGCCCCGTGCTTTACAAACCCTTTCTCAATTTCTGATTTGATACTCGAATTTCATTATCTCCGAATATTTGTTTGGCTCTTTCATATCTATGTTTGCTATTTTTTATTAGGGTTTTATAACTATTTGTTTGCTATTTTCTTCGTGTTGGGTTGAGTTGTGCTATTAGGGGCTTGTGAAAGCCAAATATTCGATTGGTGCTATATTACCAATTCTAGGTTTGCCTTGCTTTTTAGTGGGTTTGCTTCTTTGTTCGTGTTAATCTGATCTTACCTCTTGAAAATGGAGACGGGGTCACTGTTGTGACTTTCTCCCTGCAGTCCCTGTTGTGCCTTGAAACAGTGCCATTTTGACCTTTTTTTTTTCTTTCATTTTGGAAAAAACCAAGTTGAACTTCCAGCAAAGTCACCATCACACCCATAGTGAGAATATAATACAAACCCAATTAAGAAACTTCTATCCTCATTCCTCCATAAAATCTATACACATCACCTATATATACATATTCATAACACCATATATATAAAGATGTAGAAGTCTATGGCAAAGAACTTCGGTATCGCAACATCACCATGGCTTCATCAACAAACTCTTGCAGTGCCTCGACGGCCATCGAAATTAAGAAATTAATCAACTTGGTGGATGAGAATTATGTTATTATAATGTGTTCTCAGCATGACTACACACCTAAAGAGACTACGAAAATAGAAGAGAATAGAGAAAAAAAATAGCGTAGTTAGATGTAGTTCATACACGGTATTCAATTAATATAATTGTTCTGAATTCTTTCTTCATATGGCAATGGAAATAGATGAGAATTTGTATTGCAATGGGGGGGAAAAATAGAGTTGGTTTTTCCTCACACACAAGCCCACACACATGAGAAGGAAAAAAAATTAAAAAAAATAAAGGTTCAAAACAACGTGGTTTTAAGGTGCGCAACAGGGACAACAGGGAGGAAGTCACAGCAGTGACCCTATCTCCCTTAAAAATAGGCCTAAGGACTGAATTTGTGTCGAGGGAAGAAGATTGTGTATTGGGGTTGTGGAATTTGGTCATTTACGCAGCTTCCATTGAACCATTGTTTGCTTATTTTTTGTAAAGAAGCTTGAATTTATTTTCCATTGAACCATTTTATTTGAATTTTGGTACTTAATTTCTTAACTTAGTTAAGAACTCTTGCATGACCCACTAAAATGCTGATTAATTTGTTGCCTACTTTATGCTTTTGGACTACTATGATTTTATTAAATTTAAAAAAATTACCATTGTCAAAAGGGCTTCTCAATTACAGGGCTTAGCTTGGTGATTTGAGTCTCATGAGTTGCATCCTCCTCCCCCTTCACTTAGGGGTATTTATATGTATGTATGTTGTATACAATGTTTGGAGCTTAGCCAATATGTCACTAACTTAAAATGCTATATTTCATCTTCAGTTAAAAACATCATTGGGTCTCAATATGATTCATATAACTTGGAACAATTATTGTCCATTCATGTGAGACATAATTGATTCATTGTATTTCTAATGGGCATGCCTTTTTTGAAAAAATAAAAATATTCACAATTTGGTTTCTCAACAAGGAAATCAATATAAATCGGTTTCTGGAAAGATGAATCTCTAGGTTTCATGAGTTTGTTCTTATAAGATGTAAAGTTTTCAGTCATTTAGGGGTTCAAAACCATTCAAACCATTTCCACTTTGAAAGAAACAATACCTGAATTTGATATATTAGTGAATAAAGTTAGATTGTATATTATTTTTCCCTTGATTGGGCCTTGTAGATTCCATGAGACTTTGAAGTTATATATTTTACTTGTAGTAGAAAGTACAAATTTGATTTTTTTTCGTTTCGTAAACTGTGCATGCTAGACTTCTCCTAGAGAAAGAGAAGGGTAAGTACAGAGCAATCTCATTAGAAATTTAAATGAGTCATGACCTACTTATACCTATTTAAAATGAATCTTTAAAAAAAAAAAAAATTGAATCTTACATGGTGGGTAAGTACTAAACTACCTAATAATTATCCATTAGATAACCCAACCCAACTTATTTATTTTTTGTTCTTTGAGTCAGCCCAACTACGCAACAACCATCACTTACCTTACCACAACCACTTCTCTACCACCGCCATTCCCCACCACCCCTGTAGCCACCGCATCTGCCAGCACTTCCATCCCAACCCAACCCATTTATAACCCATCCAAACCTATCCATTTGAATGTGTAGTATGTGGATTCTTATGGAATGAGGGTTAATCTTGAATTATTTGATCTTGTATATATGTGTGTGTGTGTGTGTGTGTGTGTGTGTGTGTGTGTGTGTGTGTGTGTGAAGTTTGTTTGTAATTTTTTTTTTAGATTGTAGAAAACAGGTGAAATAGTGTTTTGGAGAATGGTGAGAGGGTGAGATGGAACGGTGTAGTGATCTAGCGTTTTGGAGAACCACCAGATGAACCAATGTGAAGCCAATGTGAATACCATAACTGATGCTTCCATTGTAGAAAAACTTGATTACAAAACTTATGTCAGTTACCATTTCTTCATACTCTCTCTCTCTCTCTCTTGCATGAACATGCCCCCATCTTTATTAATTTGTTTACCTGTATGTATTTTTAGAAGTAATATTTTTCCATCAAACCACTATAAGGTTGATTATGCATCTATTAATATTTTTAGGATTATGTACATAAGGCAAAATAAGAAACCACTGTACTATTGATATGACCAATGGACAATATTATCAATTTATTTCACACGTAGAATGTAAATGAGCTTTGAATTCCACTTATAAGATTCAAATGAAAAGCAAACCCCAAGCTGGACATCATTAAATGGTTGTTTATCTTGTTAGTTCTTGCTTTATAATAGAGATGTTGGTTCATAGCTTTTCATGCCAATAGAGTTATATGGACTTTGGTTGTAGTTTCTTTGTTCTTGTTGGTCCCCATTCAATGGTTCGTATTTAGGTTCTGCTAATTCAAGACACGATTTTTCATGGATTTCTATGGAATTGTAATTACGTTGTTGTTATGTAGAATGAAAATATGCATTTTTCAAAAACTCCATAGTTCAAACTAGTGAGACTTGACTTACATATCACTATTAATTCCAATTTAAATCAAAACCCAAAATTAATCGAAGGTATAAAAATTGAAATTATGAACAAAAGAGTAAGAACACCAAACGCATGTTACCTAGAAGGATCGCCATGACCAGCCAACCATGGCTCAACCATTGATTCACTAAACCCATCAACAATTTGTTGCCTATATATTAAATCTCCTAGCACCTCCACCAACAATACAATCAACCAAATTAACTTGCTTCCTCAACCAAATTAACTTTTATCTGCTCTGTTTAACTAAACCTGAGTATAACTATCTAACTAAACCATAGAGAGAGCTGCACCTGCTGTAGTATTAGCTACTCTTTCTGTGGACTGTGATCTTGGCTGCAGCTGGTTGCTATTGCTGCTCTGTCTGTGGACTTTGGCCTTGGCAGCAGCTGACTGCTGTGGCTGCTACTGCTCTGCCTGAGCTGTTGTTGCTGCTGCTTTGCCTTATCATGATGAGTAATGTTTTTGAGTTTTTGTCATGTGCCAAGTTTAAATTTTGTACCTTTTGGATTATGGTTTGGCGACAAGTTCGCTAGAAACATTTAATCTATTTGGTATGACAAGCTTACGTAAAGTACCTTTCAATTAAGGTGTTTTGGACATTTTGGGATTATGTTTTTCTTCTTTTATTTAATGGTGCATAATTATATTGTCTATATTTTCCAATTAAAGTTGAATGGTGTTATATAGTTATAGAAAATGGTCAAAGGAAAAAAAACAATGGCTGAAACCCGGTGATTTGAGAACTAAGAAGCTAACAGAATATGAGAAACAAAGAAATAAGCGAATCAAGAAGAACTGTGAGATAATGAACAATCTTGGGGTGAAGAATATTACAAATTCTTTGATGAGTGTCATTCAGCCCAAATGTGCAAATGCAAAGGAAAAGGGAATTAGGGTTGAGGTAGATGATGATGATGAGTATAAACCGTTAGAGAGTGAGAACGACAGTGATGATGAGTCGTTGGGTTCCTTTTACCGCAAGGTATTTTATATATTATTTTATATTTGTGTGTCAACATGTCTTTTACTGTTTAAATATCTTCTTCACATATCTTAAACATCATATTTTAAAAAAAATATATTTTAACTGTGTTAAATATCTTCTTTACTATTTGATTATGTTATTTCATCAGGAACAAGAGATGCCACCGGGGTTTCGTTTACAGTCTCATTTGGGGCCATTAACTCCTACCCCAGAGGAAGGGATGGATCCCCTAGGTCAAGAGGTTGGTACCCAACCCTTACCACCTCATAATGTGCAACCTGAGCATGAGGTGACTGCATCTAACAGCGTTGGTAAGTTTGCAAAGTTGTTTATATTCAATCTAAGGTCTAACTTGCATTTGTTTACTTACTAACTCAATTGATATTATGTCTTTATAGCACCACATGACAAACGAGGTCGTGGCCCGACACGCGGCATACAAGCCCAACGCATTGTCGAGAAAGATGGAAAGATGTCGGTTCCTGTACCTGAACAGTTTCGTGCGCCAGTAGGAGATCAAGCCTCTAAGCTGGCCCCCAAGATTGGTATAGAGGTTCGAATGCAATTACCAGACCTGAGCGTTCGTAGGTGGAAGAAGGTTAACGATGCTGATAAGAAGTCAATGATCCAACGCTTAGAGGTAATTATTTTCAAGTAAAAGAGGCATGACACATGAAAATTGAAACCCTTCACTATTGCCTTTTATTTTTTTTGAAATAGAAATTGAGGTGATTGATGGAAAGGATTAGAGAAGAATGGTGTTGCATAGGGGTGTAGACGCACCCTTGGGCCTCACTACAGTTCGGACTCAATTTGTGTCACGGTCCTGTATCTAATCTCGCAGAGTGCAATGCAAGACCGATGAATCATCAAACAATCCAAATCCGGCAAATCATTTTTGAAAACATATTTTTTTGAAAGAAGTGCCAAACATGAACTGCTTTGCCAGATACAGAGTCGCCACCTAAATATTTTATTTTGGGGAATTTAGGAAACCTTGACTCATTGCCTAAGGCCACGTGTCCGTCATCACTAAAGTTACCTCGGCTCGGGAACTTGGGTACGATTGGGGAAGGTCACTTCGTGAGCACCCCCGCTCGCCCGATCGAAGATCGGCCTCTACTAACCATGATATCTAGTTTTGAAAACATTATGCGTTCTTATTCCGGTTATTAGCCTAGATTTACTATGTGATGCGCACAGCATACAAGTATAGACTGGGT